CTTCCGTGTGGGGAGGGGAACATGGAACACAATGGAAGCCGATTCTCTCCTCATCCTACTCTCTTATTTCTTTCCCCTCATCCTATCTCCACCTTTAGATAAAAAATGAATAGTTTAGACTTAATTATTTTATAAAATAATTATCAGAATATTAAATTAAAAAATAAATTTAAATTATTAAAACTTGACCTGGACGATTCATAAGAGCAATAAAATAAATAAAAATGTTTAATGTATAAAAAAAATTTAATAACAATATAGAACCGTGAAACTGTGCAAGTCAAATTGTAATACTTTAAATTTATTTATTTATTTACCATATGATATTATAATAATTATTTTATAAAATAATTAAATCTAAACATATATTTTATCATTTAATATATGGATGAGATAAAGAGAAAAAAAAGAAGAGGAAGAAGAAGAAAAGGATGAAGAGAGGAACCGGATCCTAAACACAATGTCTAAATTAATTTCGGACGCCTCCAATAAGGAAAGCACAAAAGATAGGTATTGTGGCAAATCATCAATCAAATCAACAATTCTTTATAAAGTTAAAATGTGTGTTCATTTTATATCTGCATTTTTGAGTTTTGAGCACTGATTTGCACTAGGCAAAATTATATTTGAGTACAGAGATTCTATAAATTTTATATTAATTGCAAAGTTTATAAAAAAAATCAATTATATTATATTGAAATCAATATATCAAAATCAACATATTATAGGTTTTTTTGGTCAATTTTTGAAATTTAGTTTTATTATTAAAGTACTTTACATTTTTTTCTCTTTACAATACTTTCACGAGTTTCATCTTTCATTCGAATTTTCCCACCTCCATTTTAAATTTTAACCCATCTATATATGATCACTGTTATAGTTATTCTAATATAATTTAATTTAACAATTTATTTCTAAAAGAATGCATAAAATAAGAATTTCACCAGTTTCTATTAAATTTTAAGAGCTTTACATTTACTATACATTTTTTAAAACAAGTTAAATAAAAATATGCAACATCAAGCCACATACTTGGCAATAAATAGAAAATATCCCCCATAGATATAAATTTCTCTTTGCATTATACGTGACGAGCTAGTGGATTTGTACCAAAACTGATCAAATTGTGTGCAAATTATAAAGTCAATTTCTAGCCATACTCAACATAGATAATAATAAAATATAAAATCTATAATTTATACTCCTTCATTTTCAAATTATATGGCACTTTTGAAGGAGTTTTTTCATCTCAAAATATAAGATATTTTGAGTAGATTAAGGTTTTATTAAATGTATTAATTTCAATATTATCATTTCTTTTTTTATAATTAATTTCCATCACTTCTCTTTTCAATATATTAAATGATGGGTACTTTAAAAATTTTATATTTTTATTTTAAAAAGATAACGTTGTTAAATATATTTAATGAGATTTATTGATATATGAAATTTTATTTAAAAACATCTAAAACGGAGGGTGTATTATTTATAAGTCATAAACCGTTTGTGGTGCATGAAATATATGTAGTTGGAGAACATCAACTTGGCGACTTGAGTCATCCATAGTTTTGTATTTGAATGGATATTTTGACGAGGTTAAAACGATAATTAATTAATTTAATAATAAATACGAATATATAATTATAATAAGAGCCAACTGTTTCTTCTAAAAGATTAATTGTTCACCTCATCAAAATTTGTCAAAGCCCAACAAGTTGACATCTCTATTGTTGGTTCTTAACTCTTTTTCCCCACTTTTAGATTTCAATTAGACATATCTCTCTCTCTCTCTCTCTCTATATATATATATATATATATATTATATAAATATATACTTTTGGAGTTTGAAAATAAATCATGCTAATCATTGCTTTAAATAGAAATGTATTTTTTTTGATAGATAATAGTAATTTATTTTATAGATCTTATACACACACACACACAAAATGATATTTCAATAAGATTGAGTTTGTATCAAAATGAACGAAATTGCTGAAATCCTTCTATATAAAACTTATTTAAGCTTAACTTATATAAACTCATTAACGAATATTTATCACATATAGTTCCAAATAATTTCTATATCTTAAAGTTACTAATTTTTATTAATTCTTAAATATTTATGAATTAAATTTTTACATCCTCATCACTTTATTATAAAGTAAACCTACTTAAGAAAACAAATAAAATTTAATATCATCCGAATTAAATTTAAACAATCTAGATTATATTTTACCTTATAGCTATATAGCTTGTCATTGATAAAGCAAAAACAATTATTGTCAATGTCAAAAATAACTTAAAAGTGATTTCTATCCCCCAAAAATGTGAAAGTAAATACATAAAATAAATCTGAAATACAGTGTGCTTTTCATTATTATTTACAAGAATAATTAATTTGTGTCTAATAGGGCCCTTTGCACTTTATTTAATTTAGGCATTACAGTATCACACCACTAAAACAAGGAATATAATTAATTTGATGCAGAACACAATATGTGGAATCGCTTTATTTTTGCTTTTCTTTTTCTTTATTAATTTTTTCTCCATTTATGGGATTCCTTCTTGTAAAGAAAGAAACCGACAACACATGATATTTAATCAAGGCTTTATTATTCAAACTATTTTGCATTCGTTTGAAACGCTAATTATCATATCGAAATTAAACAATTGTCCATTTATAATTTTAATGAAACATTAATGACTTCTCTATCATTATACCTTTCAGTTATGAAATAAATGGTATAGGCGGAGTCCCAAGTACCATTGGATTTATCATTTTTTATTAAAAAAAATTCATGTATTGATTTAATAATTAATTTGACTGTATAATCTGACATGAAATTTTTTAAAATAGAGATACGAACAAATCTTAATCTAATGCTCTAAGTAAAAATTAAAAATAATTGTGTGAATGTTAACACAGTTCTCTCTAAATTAGTTTCAGTACATAGAAAAAGATGGATGAAGAATTTTTGGTGTTTGGTAAATTAAACTAGGCATAGTTGGCTTTGTTTATACTCATAAAGAAATTCTCCCTCTATTAAAAATTATAAAGCATTTTTAGTATTTTAAAGTATAATTAATATATTTTTTTCAAAAGTGCCAATAATAAACAAATCACTTTATAATTAGGAAAAATACAGTCATCGATCCTTATAATTTTATCATGTTTTATTTTTAGTCCTTGTAGTTTTTGTTCAGTGTGTTCAATCCCTATAATTTCAGAATGAGTGGGTGACCTTTTTTTTTTTAAGTCATTATACTTTTAATTTTTTTAGTATTTTCAGTCCCTAAAAAGAATGAAAACATTGAAAAAACTAGAAGGACCAAAAAAAAAACCTGATAAAATTATAGGAATCAAAGATTATATTTTTCCTTATAATTATTTTAAAATGAAACATCCTATTAAATAAGGATAAATATAAAAAATAATATTAGTTTGAAAACAATTAACTACTTTGTTGAAAACGAGATTTGATTAAAGATACCTTATATTTTCTTAATGAAAGGAGTATATTTAATCTATGATAGCTTCATGCTATATACAATAGAAATATTAACCATATTAATTAAGAAATAACTTGTATATATCACAAATAATTGATGATTCCTTAATGGGTCATTCTAGTTCACAATGATCTCTCTCTCTGTTTTTTTTTAAGTATGAGGAGTGCTCTACCAAATAATAGATAGTGATTACATCTGAGTCCAATTTTGGTGCTCATCATGTGATGAGCACACGATGAGCAATCTCAATCATTCAGATTTTTAATCTAGACGATCCAAATTTTAATTTTATATTTATTATAAAAAATTATAAAATTTTAATAAATTTATCTTATCATCAATTTGGATAATCTAATTTAATATTAATTTTTTTATAATTTTTATAAATTAATTATTTAGATGTACTATGGACAATCTGAATTTAAAATTTTCAACTTGCAATTGTTTCTTTTTTTTTTTTAAGTATCAGTTTCAAGATTATCTTTATCTTTATTTTTTAATATTTTATTTACTAAAATAAAATTTTATAAAAATTCTAAAAAAATTATTATTAAATTGATAAGGTTCATAATATATCTTAATATTCAATTTATAAAAATTATAAATAATTTTAATATTATATTGGACCATCTAAAATAAATCTGTGTTGTCTAGATTAATAATAAGATAAATTTATTAAAATTTTATAATTTTTTAAATAAATTGTAAAATATGGACCCTTCAAATTTTCCAAATTGCTCATCAAGTAATGAGCATTGAAACCAAAAGCGATTATATCCTCAAAGTAGTATAGAGAGAAAAGAGTAAGCCCCTTTCAACGAGGTTGCTAGTGCTACATGCATGAGGGTTAGAATTCAAATCACCAACCACTTGTTCAAATGACAAATGACTTTATCACTTGTGTCAATTTTAATTGGTATAGCAATCTTTATACCTTTTTAATATATATATATATATATATATATAATATGCAGTACTAAAACGAGTTATATTTGAGCATTGTCGAATCTAATTTAGGTCCCCTAAGATTTTTTTCTGTGTTCATATGGATTTAAGCCACTGCAACCACTATAACGTATTTCACATATTAACGGGTGTTAATAGATGATAGTCCATAGTAATTTAACCTGCGGCAGTCTATGCCATAGTAATCTAAAATCATTTAGAAACACGCGCGCGCTTGTAAATAAATGTTCAGTGTGCCCACCTGTTTTCATTCGTCACCTGATAAGGTTATAAAGGTCGTCGGTCAAAAACAAAAAAAGGTTATTAAAGTCTGATCCCCCACTTAAACCCTAACACGTGTCTTCCACTTTTTATTCGCTACCGGGGGCACTAGTGCCGATTAAATTGTTCATAAATATTTGCCCACTATATATTTATATACTATCAAATTAAAATGTAGACAAGTACCGTGTACTGTCAAATTTGTTATATTTGATACTTGTTTTTAGATTATTAATATATCAGTAAATATCAACAATAGAAGGAACGAAAATTAAGATACAATTTTTTTATCTGATCACTATAGTGAAACCTTCAGCCTAAAATTATTACATCAAAATATAAAGAGGTACATATGGATCATCTAGCTACTTTTTTTAACAGCAAAAGATAAAAGGTTTTTAAATTGAAATATAACTAAGATACATATGATTATCAAAGCTAAGGTGCTGAAAATCAACTGGTCGTTGAGCTGAAAGTATTAATTCAAGGATTGATAGTAAAACCCGTGATTTAACTGCCTATAAACAAAGCATTTTATTGAACTGGTTATAAGATACTTGTTTAATAGTTTATAAGTTTAAGTGGGCAAGTTGATTTGCATTTTTATACTATGGATCAAAGCCCAATGGAATCCACAGACTTTGTTAAGCCAAAAGTGATTCCCATGGCCATCCAACCTCCAAACAAAACCCTTAAAGTCGACTTTACCATGGGTGCTTTCCCCAAAATTGCACTCACAACTCCGAACACCAACAAAGCTAGGCTCACGACGGCCACCACCACCCCTAACCTCACCTTGTAATCTTTCACGAACGCCGCCCCGAGCAGCGGCACCACCGCACCGATAGCAAAGGCCACCGCAGAGGCTATGGCCGCATAAAACGGGTTCGGCAGCTCGGCTTTCTTTACCTCTTTGCCTTCTCTCTTCAACTGAGCTACCTCGATGTCATACTGCGAGTACACGGACACAAATTCTCCTATCGCCATGCTACAAGCTCCAGCGACCAAGCCGGCGACCCCGGTGAGGATCATCGTCTTGACGTCCTTTCTAACGGCTCCGACACCCATCATGAGTGAAGCCGTGGAGAGCAAACCGTCGTTGGCTCCGAGGACGGCGGCTCGAAGCCATTGAGCCCTTTGGGTGTAGTCAACGATCTGGATTTCATGTTGGTGGTGATCATCATCATGATAAGGGTTTTCTGGGTGAGATTCTATATCGAAAGTGAAGGTTTTTGAAGAGGTTATTGAGAATTCAGTGGAAGGAGGAGCTGGAGTGATTTGGCTCGGCTTGTGATCTGCCATCAAAGAGAAGATGATGATGAGTGTATATTTGTGTCTTGAAGAGGAAGGCAATGACGAAAATGATGAATTGTTGAGATTTGGATATGAGGAAGTGTGGCGGACACACGCCTCGGGAAGATGGTATTTATAGGCGAGGGAAAGTAGGGCTGGCGTGGAAATAATGGATCAAGGAAAAAAATAAAAAGAAAATATATATGGAAGTATGTACTAGTGGGATGATTTGGAATCTCATGCGTTCACACTAGGAAGTAAATTACTAACGACGGCGTGGGTCCAGCGCCAATAACGTCGTGTTCTTTTTTTTTTTTTTAAAAACAAAAAAGCTGAGTATTTGTCCTAGAGAGATTTTTTTTTTGGGACAAAATTTGTCCTGGAGAGATTGCTTATTGCATTTGTTCACTTAAAATTAAGTGATTATGCAATTTATGATGGATGGTTAGTAGGAAAAATATTGTCCCCAGAAGTGGAGGCAGGGATCAGCAGAGGTCACAGTATCCTCCATTTTTAGTATTCGGTCATAAATTATAAGATACATTTAAAAAAGATTTGATATTTTAAAATATAAAATACTTTTGGAAGATTAAAGTTTGAAAAAACATAACTTTTAATCTCTGTACTTTGCTCGTATTTTGCTACAAGTTCTTGCACTTTTTTTTTTGTATTTTAAGTCCTTTTAAAGTCCCTATATTTTGTTCATTTAGGGACCTAAAATATTAAAAAATAAAAATATAGGGACCTAAAGCATCGAAAAAATACAGCTACCTATAACAAAACATAAGTAAAGTGTAGGGATCAAAAGTTATGTTTTTCCTTAAAGTTTCATAGGATTATTCCAAGTTACTTTTTCTCTCTCTATTTAATTTATGTCTTTCTCTCTTTTCTATATGCTAAATTAAGGGTATTTTTAAAAATTTATATTTTATTTTAAAAAATAAAGTTATTAAGTGTATTTAATGAGATTTATTGATATATGAAATTTTGTTTAAAAACACCTTATAATTTCAGACAGATGGAGTATTATAAAGATATTATATACTTTCTCAGTCTCCAAAATTTATAAATGTTGTGTAATCCTCTAGTATTATTTATAAGACAAAAAGAGAAAAAAATTACTCTATTTATAAGTCATGTCATTAATTTTTCATTTTACCTTCCATTTAAATGTTTGTGAGGGAAAGTATGTTATGAAAGTCTATATATTTAATAGGGATAAAATTAAAAAATGTTAAATTTTTAGATTTAGTTAATGAATTTTAGAAGTTTCCTTTATTCTAATAAAATATATTAGAAGTGGCTTATAGAGGAATAGTGTCTATGTGTTTTTAATATTGGCTCCTCAAAGCTACATCTTGATTGTCCGTTAATGGTTACTTGAGATTGGTACATAGTAACACAGTTGGGACTGATGATTTATTTTAATGACCATTATTAGAGACCTTTTTGATAGTACTTCTTCCCTTCTTTAATATAAGTCTCAATTTTAAAAATACATACTAAATTAAGGAAATATTAGATTTTTCTTTCCATTCTTACCTTTAACTAAATTTTATAAAAAAGGGTGCATTTGAAAACATCAAGGATTGGATATGTAATTTAGATTTTTAATAAAGGATATTTTTAGAAACATGCATTTTTTACCAGAAATATGCATGGATTCTACTTAGAGATTTATATTAGAACTTATATTTTAAAATATAGTTAAAGAGAAATTTCACTTGTGAATTATAGGTTCAGGAATGTATGGGATTCTAAACTCTTTTTTAGTGTAATGCTCTCCTTCAACTTTCAAAAATAGTAATGTTAATTTTAACTATTAGTTAAATAGAAAATCATAGAAAAAGATTGAAAAAATTACAAAAAAAAGATAAAAAATATTACAAATGATAAGTACCTATAAATTCAAAGAACTTAATTGGTGATACAAAAAATTTTATATGATATTTATGCGTGATAAAGTACATATAATATAAAATTTGCTCTCAGATATAAATAAGAATTAAATTAGAAAACCTAAGTATTAAAGATAAAAAAGATAGAGTTAATGTTTTAACTAGAGATGAGTCATTAGTTAATAAAATAAAGTTTGCTAATTCTAGAAAGGGACAGACAAGTAATATAAATACAAAAAACTATTATTCAAGACCGACACTCCTAGATCATCAATTTGAAGAAAGATTCACCACCACAGCCTCTCATTATGATGGATCATCCATATATAAGTGGAATATAGATGGTTTTAGTGAATATGAAATAATGAATTTAGCTTAAAAATCTATATGTTCTCTAAGTTGGGTTAATTCGGTATAATAAGTTTGTTTTATTTCTTTTAATTCTTTTGGGAAAAAGTTCTTAAAATACCAACTTCTTTTTTCTTTATTTTCTGGGGACATAAGCATTTTTCTAAGTATTTCTTTATCTAGCTTAAATCCTTCTCTTCTAATGGCGTTCAAAGATTGATATTCTATAGGTGGTCTAAATTCTTTTTCTATTTGTGACTAAGTTTCTAATTCTATATTTTCTTCTGAATTTTCTTCCTCTTTAATTCTAGAGGTTTCTGCTTTGTATATAGGTCTGGGTATGTTGGGAGTAAAATCTACTCCTGCTAGTCATATCCTATACTAGAGTTATCTATAGAGTTTCTAGGTATAATTATGGGAATATTTTTTTTATCTTACATGAGGTTGACCTATTTATAATTTCATAAGTTACATCTCCTGTTGCTGTTATACTTATCTCTTTTAATTTTCCTTACTTAGGAAAGGTCCAGCTTTTTAGAATTTGGATTTCACTATGTTTTATTTTCTTTGGTATTGCTATTGTAGTTTTGGAGGGATCTCCTATTTCTATTAGCATAGTTTCTCCTCTAGGGCTTTCCTTTTTGGCTCTAAAGTTCTAATGTGTTTTCTGTATTCTGAACATAATTCTATACTGTACAACCATATAGGTTGTTCCTTTCTTCCACGTTCTCTTACTTTCTATTTCCATAACTAAAGCTTCTCTACAATTATGATCTTGAATACGTGTAACATAGTTTGGGAAACGATCAAAATAGATTGATCCTTCGAACAAATTTGTCTGTATAATACCAACTATAGATTTTTAAAAATCTTTTTCAATTCTTCTATCTCTTAAACAAATGAAAATGGGTTCGTCTAAACCTAATCAAGAATTAGGTTTGACTGCAACCTGTATCATACTTATATGCATCCAATTATATTTATCTCTAAATTTTTTAATTGTTTCTTTTGGAATCATATATATGTATATATACTGCCTTTCTTTATTTATTCCTATCTCTTTCTCTATAGTCGGTGTGACATAAGAAAAATCAAAATTTGTGGTCTTATGGATTTCTTTTTCTTTAAAGGTAGCATTGACCAATTGGTCAATAATTCCTGAAGTGTGACTGTAGCTATTCTTGATTCTCCAAAAATTTGATTGTTTTTAACTTCTTCTATTTCTTCTTCTTCGGGTTCATTACTCCTATTTGACTGTAAACTTAACTCCTATGACTTAATCTCTCTCTCTCTTTTTTTTTGACTGAGATCCTAATATCTATCTAAATCAACTCATTTTTTTGTTTGAATTGGGTTTATTTCTACTTCTTAAGCCTACAAAACTTATTGATGAGAAATTTCCTTACAGCTCATTGTTGTGAACAAAAGAAAAAAAATATCCATATATAGTATTAATACAGCGGCACAATATAGTCTTTCATAGAATTTACTCTGTCCATATTTCTATTAAAGAGCTCACATATATGGTTGTATTTTATTAAAGAGTAAAATAGATGTTATTTCACATGTAAATTAACCAAAGCTAATTCAAAAGTTATTATTGACTTATATATTCATTTTTTTGCTTGGCCAATTACTGACTTATTTGTTCACACCAAACATAATTCTATAACTTTAGCATGAGATCTTTAGGAGAATTTTATAATAAATTTTCCTATTTGAACCTACAATTAAATATGAAAAGATAAGATGTAAAATCAATTGAAAATCAGTAAAATATTTCAATTATAATCTCAAAGTTAGAACCATTTAATTGAATAAAATATATTTATCAAGATGTTTCTCCATTGGTATGAAAATAATCAAAGATTTTAAAATTATTACATGTTTTTTAATGAAGATTTGGAATAAATCTTTTTTAGGAGATCTAAGTTTGAAGAAATCTCATGTTTCTGATTGACTACCTTTTCTTTTTTGAATGAGACCTCTCTTAATGTTTTATTTCCAATTGTAGTTTTCATAAAGAGGAAAGGTGACATTTGCTTTAGTCATTTCATTGATAATGTGGAGGTTCTACAAATTAAGGTGTTTTCATTTCTTTTTACACAACTCATTAACATGGCCAAAGTGAAACATTAGTCATGAACGGTGACAATTCATATTTTATACAAAATTTTTCTAGTCAAGACAATCCATGTACTTATGTTGTGGGAAAAGAATATACAATGATGTTGATTCTTTTTTGTTAGAATAATTTGACTATGACACACATTAGTCTCTAACAATTTTGAGAATAAATTTAATTTTATAATCAAAGAGTGTTGCGTTTTAAAATCAAGTAAATTCATATGTCCCTGGAAAAGAGGAAGTGTGGCGTAATATGTGGTCTTTGTACCTTCTCCAACGAGTTGAGAAGGCGCCAACATCTTCTCCAATATTGTGAATGTGAGTAAAAGAGTTGGTTGTATGCTTCATCATTACATTCATCATTTCTTGCGTGCGACATCATAGCTAAGCCTATTTATTAATTTGTTGAATTAGGGGTGAAACCAGGATTTAAGAATAAGGAGGGCCAAAATTAGAAAACATATATACTTTAAAGTTTTCATAAATTTTAGGGGAGTCGAAAACATGTAATACTTACATTTCATAAATTTATTGACCACCTTTTATTTCTTGAATGAGACCTCTCTTAGAGTTTTATTTCCAATTGTAGTTTCCATAAAGAAAGAAAGGTGACATTTGCTTTAGTCATTTCATTGATAATGTGGAGGTTCTACAAATTAAGGTGTTTTCATTTCTTTTTACACAACTCATTAACATGGCCAAAGTGAAACATTAGTCATGAACGGTGACAATTCATATTTTAT